AACAATAAAGCCAGCCTCCCAGAGACCCCCGCCGAGGACCCCCGCCCGGCGGAGGAGCACCGGTGGCCCGCCCCTCTCCGCCCGCGCCGCCTGAGCTCGCCCGGGCGCTGGCCGCGGTGCTGCCCAGGCCGGCGCTGGCCGCGGTGCTGAAGCTGCTGGCGCTCCTCCTTGCTACTGCTGCCCTGTTCTCCTGGCCAGGCGCTACCGCCCCCGGGGGCATGGGGTGTCGCTGACTGAGGCTCCGCCGCCGCGGCGGGGGGGGGAGGGGAAGGGGACCGCGGGGCCGGGCTAGCCCTGCACCCATTCGCAGCCTCCGGGCCCGGGACGGAGCCGCTCCCCCCCTCTCGGCCCCCCCCCAGCCTCCTCCCCCGCCTGTCCAGGGGCGGCACTGCGGGCTGGGAAGCCGGGACCAGAGGAGAGAAGGAAGGAAGGAAAGAAGAGAAAAGAAGAGAAGAGGACAAGGAAGGAAGGAAGGAAGGAAGGAGGAAGGAAGGAAGGAAGGAAGGAAGGGAGGGATCCGGAGGGGCAGAAGAGGAGACACAGGACAGTAAGGGAGAGAGGACCACACTCGTGCCCCAGCATCCACAGGCCAGAGTGGGGACAGTGCTTCCTCCACCGCTCCTCGGATGTTGACGGGGCCTCGTCGAGGACGCAGTCCCCCTGAGCCCAGGCTCCACAGGCCTTCACTGCCGGAGCCCCGCAGGAATCATGCCCAGGTCCTTCCTGGTTAAGAAGGTCAAACTTGACACGTTCTCTTCGGCAGACCTCGACAGCTCCTACGGGCGAGCCCGCAGCGATCTCGGAGTGCGACTGCAAGATAAAGGTGGGCTCTAGACTGCAGCTTGGGCCAGGCCCAGGGCTTCACTGAAAGGGGTGGGTAGCCAGTGAGTGGGGTGGAGTGGCAGGGTTGGAGGGGAAGTAGGTCCAAGGGAAGCAGCTTGGAGGCTGGAGCCAAGAATGTAGAGGACTGAGGAAAGGGGAGCAGAGTAAGGCCAGATCTCTGCTAAGGCTGGGCAGAATGTGGATGCAGGAGAGGTGGGATAGTAGGATGAGGAGCAGGAGGCACTGAAGGCACACACTGACCCAAACACTGACCTATGCTGAGATGTACGCAGCTCCATGGACACCTGCTGACATGATAGGACCCAGTAGTATGGGCACATGCTAACCCATACCCAGAAATCTGGATCTGTTTTACTACCCTGTCTTCTCCTTCCCTTGGCTACACTTCCAGGGCCCCTTGCTAGGGCTAGTTAGGGACTGCTGGGAGCTCCAGGGAGTAGGCATGGGGTGCAGCAGGGCCGCCCACCTGTCAGGGCTGAGGTACCAGAGGAGGCAGCAGCAGTATCATCCCTGGAGTCAGAATAAGGGAAGAAGATGTGAGCAAGGAATTGGAGTCATGGGAGGTTCTTTGTGTAAGGGTGCCCAAGTTCAAGGACAACTGTTAGCATACAGGCCAGGGGGACAGGCGTGCCAGCAGCATGGGGTGGCAGAGCAAGTATGACCTGCAAGAGCACAACCCTGTGTGGGCCCATGTGACTTCATGTGGCCATGTGACTTTGTGCGCTTGTGTGTGACCCTGTATGTGTGCCTGCCTGTGTGTCACTACATGGGACCACGTGACTCTGAGGCCGCTCTGTGCACCATGTGACTGAGAGTGTGTCTGGGATGGCTGCATATGTGACCCTACATGTGTGGGTGGTGAGTGCCAGTGCTAGGGTCAGTGTGCATCCTGCCCTGTGAGGGGACACCAGGACTGATGATGGTTGGGAACCTGAGTGTAATCCTGAAGCAGCCAGAGGCCTGCATTGTGAGGGGTATGCATTTGTGACTCTGAGACTGTGAGATTCATCTTGTACTTTGAGAACAACCACAGTTACTGGCATGAACCATGCTGTCGGCCTTCAGCTTGTCTCTGTGAAGGTGTCCCCTACTGGATATCCTGACAGTCTTCCTAGTCCCCTGTTGGGGGCTTGAAAAGGTCCCCAAAAGACTTAGGGCATGGGAAGAAGAGTGCAATGTGGAACAGGGTAGAACCCAAAGATGCAGGATAATGTAAAGTAGTGGGCGGAGGAAAATGAGTTGGAGCTGCAAGGGTAGGGGTCATGTCCAGAGACTGGTCAGAGGGATGGGAGATGCAGGAGAGGTGCTGGTAATGACCAGAGATGCTGGCTAGATAGAAGTCTTTTTTTGTTGGCACACCTACGGAATAGAGGGACTGTATCGAGGCTGTGGACAGATCCTGGAGGCCTGGAGAAGGCCCTGGGGACCCCGACGGAGGCAGGACCATAGGGGTCCCTGAGCCGGAGGCCCCGGCTTTGTGCGCGACGGGTCTGCAGTGTGTTGCATAATCAGGGAAAACTGCTGAAGAGGGGAGAACCCGAGGGGGAGGGGAAGGGGGAGGAGAAAGAGAGAAGCGCCGCCCCTCCCCCCTGACCTTGAGGCTCGTGGAAGGGGGGCAACCGCGCCCGGAGATGCGTCTCTCTCCTCCCCGTACGGGGGCGGGGCGCTAGGGCGGCGGGGGAGGGGCCCTGCCTGGCCCTGTCTCATCTTCTCATTTCTCTTCTCTCTTCCCCTCCCTGCGGTCTCCATCCTCCCTGCCCCGTGGTCCCGGACCCCTTCTCCTTTGTCCCAATCCCTGTTCGCCTCCCTTTTGAACCCCGGCGTCTCCCGCTGTGCCTTCTCGGTCTCCCGCCGCCCGCCTTACGTGTGTCTTGCCCGCTGCCCTGTTCCCCTCCCGCTGTCTGTCTGTCCGCCTCCGCCCGTAGGATACCTCAGTGACTACGTGGGGCCTGCGTCGGTCTACGATGGCGACGCTGAGGCGGCGCTGCTCAAAGGGCCGTCCCCGGAGCCCATGTACGCTGCGGCTGTGCGCCGAGAGCTGGGTCCCGCGGCCTCCGGCTCAGCACCGCCACCCACTCCTCGCCCAGAGCTGGCCACGGCTGCGGGCGGCTACATCAACGGCGACGCAGCTGTCAGCGAGGGCTACGCGGCCGACGCCTTCTTCATCACCGACGGGCGCTCACGCCGTAAGGCTGCTAATGCCAACGCTGCCGCGGCCCCCTCCACAGCTTCGGTAGCGGCCCCCGACAACGACGCTGGAGGCGGGGGCGGGCCGGGCACCAGAGGCTCTGCAACCGGGTCTGCCACTCGGGGCGGCACACGCGCGGGGGCGGGCACTGAGGCGCGTGCGGGGCCAGGGTCCACCGGTGCTGGTGGCCGGCACGCGTGCGGCGAGTGCGGCAAAACTTACGCCACGTCGTCGAACCTGAGTCGCCACAAGCAAACGCATCGCAGCTTGGACAGCCAGCTGGCGAGGCGTTGCCCAACGTGCGGCAAGGTGTACGTGTCCATGCCGGCCATGGCCATGCACCTGCTCACGCACGACCTGCGCCACAAGTGCGGTGTGTGCGGCAAGGCCTTCTCGAGGCCCTGGTTGCTGCAGGGCCACATGCGCTCTCACACCGGGGAGAAACCCTTCGGCTGTGCGCACTGCGGCAAAGCCTTTGCAGACCGCTCCAACCTGCGTGCACACATGCAGACGCACTCCGCCTTCAAGCACTTCCAGTGCAAGCGCTGCAAGAAGAGCTTCGCGCTCAAGTCTTATCTCAACAAGCACTACGAGTCAGCCTGCTTCAAGGGCGGCGCCAGCGGCCCCGCAACCCCGGCGCCGCCGCAGCTCAGTCCTGTTCAAGCCTAGGGCGGCTGGGCCTCCGCCACCCAGGTCGGCTCTCAGCAATACGGGCCCCCAGGGAAGTCTCCGCTGGCGTCCCGGCGGAGGGGCTGGAGGGCGGGCCCTTCCTCACAGCAATAGGGGTAGGGAGCCGGCCCCACCCTGCCCCGCTCGCCAGGAGCCTTGCCAGCCCCTTCAAGCAATAGGGTCCCGAGGGGAGACCCACCCCGAAACCCCTCCCCTCTCCTCCAGGGTGCCCCAGGCTTTCTCCCAGCAATAGGGTCGATCAGACCCAGAACCGAACCTCATCTCTTAGTTGGGTCTCTGAAGATAAGGGTGAGGTGAGGTCAGGAAAGCCCTCCTCCCTCCTCTGCGCCCCTGAATCGCGTTGCAGAGACTCAGGTCTTCCCCACCCCTTCCCAAGCCTTCCAGGCCGGGCCTTCAGCCCAGGTGTCCAGGGAGTCAGCCCCTCCGGGGCAGCTGGCCACAGGAGGAGGAGCAGGAGAGCAGGCGGGCTACAGTGGCGTTCTGCCCTACAGGCTTCGCGGACCTCCCGGGAGTGCTAGATGTTTTGGGGATCGGGGAGGGGCGCGGACGGCGGCACCCCTCTCCCTTGGATTCTTTCAGGGGCCTCATTCGGAGCCGCCCTCCTACCCTCGCCTCGCATCCTCTGCCAAATCCGAATTCTTCCAGCCCAGAGTCCCGGGCTCTGTCCTCCATAACGAATAATAATGACGCATATCGGAATCGCATGGACTTACCGACCTACTCAGACCCCGCTCCCGCCCTGCCCCGGGGCCCCCTCCCTCGCCCCCCAGGCTCCTGGTGTTGGAGGACCGATACCCGGGCCTGGCAGGCTGGCGTGCCACTGCCCTCTACACACCTCTGTATTTGCTTTGCGGGTAAAGCCCCCTGGGGGGGTTGCGGACGCGTCGGGTTTCTTTCTTTCTTTCTGTATTTATACGTTTTATTTGTGAACAGATTGCACTCGGGTCTGGGAGGGGGCGCCGAACCCTCATCCTGCCCGCCGACGCCCGAGGCTTAGGATCCAGGACCACTTCCTCTGCCTCTGAGCCTCGCCCCTAGCTGGGCTCTGCCTGTTGGGAGCCTCGGACCTCGCCTCTCAGAGGCCGGCCCCTTCCTAGAGGCCCAGGCCCCGCCCCCACTCGGTTGCCAACTTTCGCCCGTCTATGCCAAAGCCTCGGCGGCGACCCTTCCCCAAGGGCCCGCCCCATTGGCCGCCGCCTTTGTGACGTCACTGCATGCAGCCCCACCCTTCTTCCCAACCCTTCCCGGGGCTGCCCACTCCCCTTTCTCTTAGTTAGTCCAATGCCGACTATAGAGCAATAATGCGCACTGCATGCGAAGCTGCCGCAGCCTCTAGAGTTACTAAGAATCAGGTATTCCCCAGCCCTACCCACCCTATAGGCCCCTAGATCAGGGATGCTGCGCGGGGGCCGGCCGCGCAGACTTTCTTTCCCCCTTCCCGACCCCAGGGGCAGAGCCCGGCGGGCGTCATAGTTCAGAGGCGTGGACCGAATGGTAGCACCCAAGGACCCTCCGTCAGTCGTTCATCAATCACCCACCAATCATTGGGTATCTACGATGTGCCAGGCCCATTCCTGAGTCCTCCAGAAATGTGGCAACCTTCGGGAGGTGCCTGTCGACAACTGGGGCCCACTAAGCTTGGGTGGGCCAGGGTGGAACACACATGCAGAAGGCCGGGTCCCTAAGCCCAGATGACCACCTCAGCCCTGGTATGTGCTGGGTGCAGTCGGGCTTTGCCTTTGACTTGGGCCTTGTGTTCCCAGCTCAGATTGGACAGATCCCAGGGTCCCAGGTCTCACCTTCACCAAGGCTGCCCAAACAGGTGCCCAGTCCTCTGATTCCCTGAGATGCGCGGTTCTCCTGTCCCTGCAGCTATGGTGCAACAAGCTGGAGTATATGCCATGACCAGCCTCATCCCAGCACCAAGCTTGGCTGCCCCCCAGGGGAGGGCTTGCGAGCATCGAATAGCAGTGCCCATATCCAACCCCCTCACACCACCTGGTGAAGTGCCCACAGTTCCCAGCCTGGGCCTGCCTGACTGCGGCATGCACACGCACACAGAGGCACCTATCCCGCCCCACTCTGCACTCCTGTCTACCTACCTATGGAGAAGGCTGGAGGGCTATGGGCCCACCAGGATCTCCCGCTTCGCCCCACACCCTGCCGCCGTGGAAAGCCATGGGCCCCCTCCTGCCCCCATAACTAAGCAGCACAATAACCGACTTAGCGAATTCAGGTAGAAGGAACGTTTAGGTAGCACCTATTTTGTACTGATTCTACAAGTAGGGCCCGAGGTGCGGGGGCCCTCGGGTGGGGGCTGTGGCCGCCGGCCCGCCCCGCCCCCACCCCGCCTGCGCCCCGCCGCCTTGTACATATTCCTGGCCTGCAAAAGGCCAGGATTTTTACTCGGGCTGTGCCCCTCTTCCGCCCCCGTTTGGGGCCGGGCCGGCCAGACAGACGGACGGACGGACAGACCTCCTTCCTAAGCACAATAGCACCAGCTCCCCGGAGCACCGCACCTCCACGAGGAGAATAAATGCCACTCTTGATAGAATTTGGAGTGTTGACTGATATGTCCTGTTGGGGCACTGCTAGGGGTATCTGAAGGTACCTAGGGGCCTCTTCCTGGCTCTGCAGGCCCAGACCAGTGCTGGGAATCCCAACTCAACTGGTGCCATTCTCCTACCCGAGAGGGTCAGCCAGGCCAGCTGTACCAGTGGAACACCTGTCTGAAGGCAAAGCCATTGGCAATTCCTCTGGGGCAAGTGAGTGCTCAGTTACGGGTATGGAGGGTACTTGTAGGTTCTGGTCAGGCACTCATATCCCAATGTCAGACAGGTCCCACTCAAGCTAACCTAGAATGAACAGAGTGTGTACAGAAGGGGCTGCAGTCCCCTAGCCTGGAATGTCTTTACTTTGTTCCTTGTAAGGACTTCTGCAGCTACATCAACAGCTCTGGGTCCCTCATCCTTAGCAATCTTCTGAGATGGGGTTGGAAGAAATGGGCTAGAAGTGGTTTCAGGTTCTAGTCCCTTTTTTGGAGGCTTGCTGCTCTCATTCTGACCCCCAAACTATGGGGTGTGCTCCTGCACTGCTGGACAGCTGGGTTGGATGGGTTCCAGCCTTAAGATGTCAAGGGGTAGAGACACTTCTGCAGCCACCCATATCCCTCAGATTCTAGACAGGGTGAGTAGAAGAAACAGAAGGCAGGGCTGTGTTGGGCAGAGAGAACCACAGGGGCAGGGACTGAGGAAGGGGATCACCCAGCAATGGCTCCTGCCAAGCAGGTAAGCAGGTGTGAGTTGAGTAGCTCAAAGACTTTATGTGACCAAACTAGATCAGTCTTAGGTCAGAGTTAGCATAGCTGCCCACATCCTGGCAAGAGCAGAGGCCAGACTCACCCAGATTCCATTCCATGGAGAGAAGGGAGAGCTGTGTATCCAGCAGCACAGAAAATATTCCAGTGGGGGTGGGTGCACCCTTATGGGGAGCTTGCACAGCAGTAAGAAAAGCAGGAGTGAAGGTGCATCTGATGCTGGAAGTTGTTGGCTAGGCCTCCTGAAAAACATCCTTCACAGTCATTGTCCTTGGCTGGATAGTCATCATTTGAGACTCAGATGAGATTGACAGCTCGTAGAAGAAACAAGGACCCATGGCTATCTTTTATGTAACCCTGTATTAGTATTTCATCCACTCCAATGCCAAGATCTACACCTTGGCAGGTGGCAAACACATATAGGAAGGGTCTTAGCTCCCCACTTCTTCCTGGAGCACTCCACAGCTTTAAGGTCTTGATTGGTTGCTTCTCTAGGCTTCTAAGGGTGGTGGGCCAAAGGATGGAAGCAACCTCTAAGAGGGTTGGGATGAGCCTACCTTCCTATTCCTCCAAGGTATCCAGGGACACAACTTTCCATTCTTGAGAATGAATGGCATGGGTGGCTGACATACCACTGCTTCAAACTCTCCTCAGTAAGCCTCCTTGGCCTGCCTGTTGCCCCACTGTGCTGGGGTCAGCCTGAGGCCATTTCTAAACTCCAAAACCCTCTTTGTAAACTGAGCATGGTGGCACATGCCTTTAATCCCAGCATGTGGGAGGCAGAAGGAGGTGGAACTCTGTGAAACTGAGGTCAGCCTGGTCTACATAGTGAGTTCCAGGCCAGCTGGGGCTACAGGGAGACTGTGTCTTAAAAAACAAAAACAGGGGGCTGGAGAGATGGCTCAGCGGTTAGAACACTGGTTGTTCTTGCAAAAGACCCAGGTTTGAATCCCAGCACCCACATGGCAGCTAACAACTGTCTGTAACTCCAGTTTCATGGGATCCGACGGCCTCTTCTGTCCTTGGGGGCATTGCACGACATGGGTGCACTTACCTACATGCAGGCAATACACTCATACACATAAAATAAATATTAAAGCTGGGCATGGTGGCACATGCCTTTAATCCCAGCACTAGGGAGACAGAGGGAGGCAGATCTCTGTGAGTTCGAGGCCAGCCTGGTCTACATAGTGAGTTCCAGGACAGCTGGGGCTACAGGGAGACCCTGTCTCAAAAAGACTGAAAAAATATATTAAAAACAAAACAAAAAGAGAACAAAAATGGGGGCTGAAGAGATGGCTAAGAAGTTAAGAACACTGACTGTTCTTGCAGAAGACCCAGGTTTGGTTCCCAGCACCACATGGCAGCTAACAATCATCTGTAACTCCGGTTCCAGGGGATCTGACAGCTCCTTTTGTTCTCGGTGGGCATTGCACGACATAGGTGCACTTACCTACATGCAGGCATAACACTCATATACATAAAATAAAAATAATAAATAAAATAAAAAACAAAAAAGCAAAAATGGAGCTGGAGACATGGCTCAGCAGTTCAGAGCATCACCTGCTCTTGCAGAGGATCTAGGTTCGATTCCCAGCACCCACATGGCAGCTAACAACCATTTCCAGGGGAATCCAATGCCCTCCTCTGACTCTGAGGGCATTGCACATCAGAGGTGCACTTACACACATACAGGCAATACACTCATACACATAAAACAAAAATATAAAATATTTAACCTCCACCAAAAAAATAGGAAAAATAAAAAACAACCCCCCCAAAGCTCCCCAAACAATCCCCCAAACCCAGAAAACAGAACCTTTTTGGCCATCTTACTCTACAAAGGTTGTAAGGCTCTCTGCCCCAGCCTGGACCCCTTTTGTTACCACCTCCATCAGGGAGATCTACATTATGATTTCCTTGGCAACTCTGCCATCCACACCTTTATCTCCAGCCAACCTCACCTATTCTTTTTATTTTCTCCTGGCACCCTGGGCCACACCTCACTCTAGACTTGGGGGGTCTTGAAGTTATCTGCTCCAGGTAATCCTCTTCTCAGTTATCCATCCCTGGCCTACCTCCTTAAAGCAGGCCCTGCTATCCTGATGTAAGTCCCAACTCTTCACCATAGGCCTCTGCAGGACCATCCTTCCTGATGGCTCTGGTCTACCCTTTGTTCATTTCACTCCCACGGCCACTTTGCAGGCTGACAGATTTGAGTCTAGATGTCATTGAGTAGGGGCCTCCAAGGAACCCTTCACTCTTCATTGGTCTTTCTGAATTGGTCTCTGGCCTTAGTGAGGTCTAAGTTGCAGTCTCTGGCCTCAACTTTTGGTTTCATACTGGAGGTTGGTGTAGCGAGAGTGCTAGCTCTGAGACATGTGGGAGGCCTCATACTCACTGACAGAGCTGGGTGTGAGGAAGGGATGGCAGAGCTCATATGGCTCACCCTAGGAGACATTCTCTTTCAGTTCACCTCCTTTTGGAGTCAGTAGTCACAAAGGCCTAGACCGGCCTAGCCCAGGCCTAGCTGCAAGGCATGCTGGGACAGCAACAAAGGAATGTTTTGGGGGACTAAGTAGGAGTTCAGGTTGGCCCTGATTCACAAAAGGTCCCTACATGAGAGGCAGATCATACCTAGAGCTGCCTTCTCCAGCAGGCTACACAAACAACACACCTGCAAGGGTGCATGGAGAGATGGCTCACCTGTTAAGAACACTGACTGTTCTTGCAGAAGACCCAGATTCGAATCCCAGCACCCACATGGCAGCTAAGAACTGTCTGTAATTCCAGTTCCAGGGAATCCAACAGCCTCTTCTATCCTCCACTGGCATTGCACTACACGGGTGCATGTACCTACATGCAGGCATAACACTCATACACACACACACACACACAAAAAGACACCTGAAAGGTAGTCTGGGCCTTTTCTATGGCCTGTAACAGGAAGCAATAGTGACATTAGACAGGGGTCAGTGGAAACCACAGAAAGTGGTGCGAGCTTGTTAGGAAGGCTGTGACACACTGTAGGAGAGGCCGCCAACTCTAGTGAATGCCTGTTTTCTCTACAGAGGCACTTCTTGGTCTTGCTCTTGCTAGAAGAGCGACTGGCTATGCATCTTAGTCTCCGTCGTGTTTCTGGGGAAATTGGGTGCACCCTGAGGTCTGGGATGCAGGCACTGGACCTCCGAGTCCAGACAGGTTGCTTGTCTGGCCAGAGCCCCGGGCAGGGTAGGGAAGTGAAAGGAGGCGGGAGGGGAAGGAAAGACAGGACAGAAGAGTCGATTCATTTAACTACTGGGCGATTGCGCTGACTTCCTGTAAAGTGAGTTTGGACATTTCTCCAGCTTGATCCTTTCTTTGGCCTCGCCCTTGTCAGTCTGTCTAGCAGGGTCTGCGGAGTAGCTAGGGATCTCTCGTGGCCGGACCGCTCCAAGGTGCTTTAGCCCGGCCGGTTTGGCACAGGAACACCAATCTGCGGCCCCCCGACGTCAGCGTTCGCGGAGTTTCATAAATAACCCACACTCCAAACCGCTGCCGGGCAGAGGGATGACGAAACCATGTTTACAGAAGTGGGGCAAGGGGCAGGCAAGAGGTCAGGGGAAGTGCTGCAGGGAGCAGGGCGCTGGCACAGTCTTCGCCGTCCAACCGGCTCCCTGCAGCAGCATAGAACCTTGGTCGTCTTCTGTGAAAGTTGCCAGGGTGCTCGGCGCCGCCCGCTCCGGTGCCTACGACTCCCAGGAGGCTCCGCGCCACGCCCAGCGTGCTCCGCGTCTCCTCCCAGGCTCCGCTCCCGTCAGCTTCTGGCTACAAATGGGCGCGCACCGCGCTCCTCAGCCAGTCAGCTGGTCTGCAGCGACGCAGCCTGCGCTGTCAGGGTCGTTCGCGGCGTAGTCTACGGAGGCCTGCAGGGGGCGGCGGCTGAGGCAGTTGCTCAGGGTCCAGAGGCGGGGCCGTGGGGTCCGGGCTCTGTGAGCTGGGCGGTCGTGACGAGGTCATGGGGGACCGTGGTGGCGCGGGCGGCTCTCGGCGTCGCCGGGCTGGCTCACGGGTCTCTGTCCAGGGTGGTGGCGGGCCCTCGGTGGCCGAAGAGGAGGTGCGGGACTTGACCTCGGCCCCCGACGTGGGCGCTGGGGGTGATGCGCCGGTTCCCACCCCGGCTGCGACCCCGGCTCAGACCCCGAACAAAGACGGACACGTGGACGTGGGCAGCGGCCACTGGGAGCTGAGGTAGCGGAGCGCCCGACCCCTTACCTCTGACCTGCGCCGACGCTCCCAGCCCGCCAAGAGTGGCCGCAGCAGCGCGAGTCCGCGTGCGCGGGGCCTTGGGGAGAGGGTCACTTGCCAAGGTCATCCAGGTTGGGTCGAGTCGGCGTCAGCTTCTCTCCAGGTCGCTCAGGCAGCACGCTTTTGAGGCAGGTCTCTTGAAGTCCTTGCTGAGGGGCGGCAGGAAGTCTGGAATCCTGGGCTTGTGGCCTAGTCTAGAAGGAAGTAGGCTTTAGGGGGAGGGCTATGATGAAGGGGTAACTTTGCAGAGCTGTGAGGGATGCCCTGTGGGTAGGGAAGGCTCCCAAAAGGGGGGAGGGGGCTGCCATAGAGTTCAGGCCCGTTGGAGGACGGGGATGGGCATTTGCCCAGGGCAGAGAATAGTCCAGGAGATTTTTTGGCACCTGCAGATCTTCTGGAATGTGTGGCTCATTCATCCCTCACCCGGTGTAGGAGGGCCTAAAGCCCTGTATCAAAATGACTGCCGTAGGGACGGAGCTGAGTACAGTGTGCAGACTTTGATCCCCTGGTTGGTGTTAGAGAGGTTTGGTGTGGGCACATCTATAGGAGGGATCCTACTTAGCTAAATGACTGATGGGAAGGGTGGGGGGGGGTATCATACATTTCCATAATGTTGACTGAGTCCTCCAAGCTGGCCCTGAGGCCATCCCAAGGCTGCTCTCTCTGGTCCACATTCTGGGACCTTTAGTGGCTCTGGGCTAGGAGGAAGTGGACAGGTGAGCTGGCAAAGATGTGTTCTGTCTGTATCAACAGTGCCTTTCTTCAGTGGGCATTGTGGGGCCGGTGTCTCCACTGCCCTTTTGTGTTCAGTTCACTTGGGAGATAAGATAACTTCAGTGTGAGGCAGGCATGGTGTATTGTGGACAAAGGTCAGGTAAGGAGGCCATGAAGACACAGTTGGGGAGGAAGCTGGCCCTCCCAAGAGAGGTGCTGGTTTACTGTAGGTCTAGGCTGCAGTTGAAGAAGGCTGCCCCCTACTTTCTGTCCAAAAAGAGGTGATGACAGGTCCTGTTGTCCTTCAGAGGCAGGAGGCTGGCTAGTCTGACCTCTACAAGGGTGGGAACACTATACTTACATATGTGACATCAAGGGGGTGTCTCAGCTGTGGGCCAAGCTACCACTCAAGGATAGGCAGGGGAGAGCAGTTACATTCCTGCTGTTTTTTTGCCCTCTGGTGTGAGGCTTGTACAAAGCTAATGGAAAAGGCTAGGTATGTGTGCGTGCGCATGTGGGTGCCTGCACACAAGTTAGTCCCTGCTGTGCTATCCCCCTCTCCTGGTATTGGCAGAGATTGGGGTAGGGGCAAGAGTGGGGCAACTGGCAGCTGGTTATCCCCTTATGGCTTCATTCCAATCTGGGGCTGCCACAGGACTTGAAGCCCTCTAGTTGAGGTACTAGACTCCATTTCCCCTGCTGGTGGAGCAGGTCTTGCGTTGACTGCCTCCCCTGGGGTTGGCCTGTGGTTCATACCACTGCCACCCTTCTCTTGCCAATTCTGTTCCCCTCCATTGTTACTCTTGGCCCAATCTAGCCTTCCTCTCTCCCTTCCTCCTGACCCCTTGGCCTCCTGTTCCTTCCTCTCCCCTATACTTCCTGCTCACTTTTAGCTTGACCTATGTGCCAGGTTCCAGATATCAGCTCAGTTCTTCTGCCCATTGGCAAGATGAGGCTGTTAGGCTTTGTCTTCTGTTCACTTTTCCAGGCTACAAACACTTACGGGTACCCAAGATAGGACCTTCTTGTGGTGGGGTTCTCCCAGGGTATTTTTGTTCCAGAATGTATCTCTCCAGCAGGATCTGTGAGTTATGGGGAGCTTGCCTCAACAATCTTGTACCCCAGGGCCTGGCCAGGAGGGCGGCATAGAGGAAATGCAAGTGTCGACTGGGAGGGGAACTGGCTTTCTGCCCACTTCTCTTTCTGTTTGGCATTGAACCTGAGCTGTGTGACTCCTAGATGAAATCCATACTTGGAGGCTGGTCATTTGGGGATGAGACAGACCTTGACGTGTGTAGGGATGTGGAGATTCTTGCCTTAACGATGCTTATGTGAGGTTGAAGGAGAGGCAGGAGGGGACAACCACCTTCCTTGCTGTACCTGTGGTTCCCCTGAGTGGGCCTAGGGGCTGCACGGGGGAGGACCAGCTATCCCATTTCCTTTTGGCCCCAGGGAGTGGGTATAGGACAGTTGGAAGGCATAGGACATGGGCAGGCCCTCTAGTAAGTGAGAGGGTGTCCAAAGCAGCTGTGAGTATGGATGACCAGTTCGTTTCCCTGCTGTCCATCTCTGCTGCCTGCCCTCTAGCCCATTTGCTTCTGGCCATATTGGCAAGGGGGGAATGGCAAGCCTTCTTCCCCGGGACAGGAGTCTCTGACCTATAAAACGGGGGGAGGGGCTGGAGAGATGGCTCAGCGGTTAAGAACACTGGTTGTTTTTGCAGAAGCTCCGGGTTTGAATCCCAGCACCCACATGGCAGCTAACTGTAACTCTAGTTCCAGGGTCTCTGACGACTTCTGTCCTCTGCGGGCATTGTACAACACAGGTGCACGTACCTACATGCAGGCAGTACACTCATACACATAAAATAAAAATAATAAAATGTAGAAAAGTGGGGAGGCAGCAAGGGTGGAGACAGGGCAGTGGGAATGCTGTGTGTAGTGGGGGGCTGGTTGGTTGGGAGGCCCCTGGATGTGAATAGTCATGAAAGCTCAACAGAGGGACTTGGAAAATATCTTTTTTGGGGGGGGGGGTCTTTTTCAGATAGGGTCTCCCTGTAGCCCCAGCTGGTCTGGAACTCAACAGAGATCACCTGCCTCTGCCTCCTGAGTGCTGAGACTAAAAGTATGTGCCATCACGCCCAGCTTGAAAAATATCTTAAGAGATGTCTGCTAAACCAGGCATGGTGGTGCATGTAGTGGCACATGCTTGCAATCCCAGCACTTGGGAGATTAAAGCAGGAGGATTAAGACCAGCCTGGGCTATATAGTGAGACAGTTCCCCCTTTCTCTTTTTGTCTTTTTGAGACAGGGTCTCCCTGTAGCCCCAGCTGGCCAGAAACTTACTATGTAGACCAGGCTGGCTTCGAACTCAGAGATCTACCTGCCTCTGCCTCCTGGGTGCTGGGATTTAAGGCATGTACCACCATGCCGGGCGAGACAGTGTCTCTTAAAAAAAAAAAAACCAAAACGGGGCTGGAGAGATGGCTCAGCGGTTAAGAACACTGGCTACTCTTGCAGCCCCAATAAAATATATTAAAAAAAGAAACCAAACAAACCAATAAATGACATCTGCTGTCAGCTTTGGAAAGCTGCTTTTCCCTGTTTATTTATTTTATTTTTTTAAAGCAATCTTTAATGTCTTTAGTTAGGTTTATTCCTAGATATTGTACTTTATTTTTTTCCCAATTTTTAATTGAGTTTTTGTGCATTTCATATAATAGAACTTAACCAAATTTAGACCCACTCCAACCTCCACTTTCCATATTTCTATCTTTGCCCTGGAGATGGCCACAGAAAAAGCAGCATGTTCTCCTTGGTGACCTAAAGGGGAGAGAGGTCAGTCTTGTGAAATAACCTTGGTTATGTGTAGATAGTAGTTGGTGGGTTGTGGCACAGAGGCCAGCCATGAGGTTTTGGGATAGTTGTGCTGAAAGCACAGGGCTTTAGCTTGGAGGAGAGGGGCAGTGGGGAGGCCAGGCCTAGCAGACAGGTCCAGAGATGCCATACTGCCTGTCTCATGGTGCTGCCTCTTAGGGGCAGCCACATCAGGCCAGTGGAGCCAGTTAAGGAGGTGCCCCAAGGAAGGGTAACAATCATTTGGAAAGCAGGTGTAGACTTAGAGAGATGTACTCAGGTAGAAACCACAGTCATATCACTTGGCTCATGATGGGCCTAGTAGGTAGATGCTGGAAGCCCAGTTCTAAATCTGGGAGAGGAAGTGGGTAATTGGGGGTGAGGTGGAGCTAGGGTAGAACTGTCTCATCTTGGTGCTCTAGCTTGATATGGACAATAAGAGGGCTATGACTAACCTCCCACAAGCCAGGGGCTAATGTGGATGGCACTAGGTGCCAAGCAGATCTCAGAGTTCAATCTTGATGGCAAAGGTTGGTTAGCACTGCCCTTCAGTATCCTCTTCTGAAGAGGGCTGTCAGACTTCCAACCTTAATCAAAGTCAGACTTGCTCCTAGTCATTGAGGCAAGGTCAGCCCTAAGAGGGCATCCATGGCATAGTGTCCACAGTACGCTTCCAGGCCTGCTCCTTCTGTTAAGATGCCCCAGGGCAGAGATGTGTGTGGTGACGGAAGGTGAGGCCCTGGCCTCTTACAAAATCCAGGCCTTGCTCAATTCTGTGTGGGGCTTCCTGGTGGCACAGCAGCTGGAGGGCAAGGTAGAGCCACAGCTGGTGTAAGCCAGGGCACTAGTTACTGGGACTAGGGCTCTGGGTTGTTCCTGTTGTCTTTGCCAGGAGCTGAGCCTGGGCCCCTCTGCCAGGCTTGGTACCCCTTTTCACAAGCAGAGTCTCTTTGGGTGTCCTACACCCCAGCACTGGGTGGGAGCTTTCATGGATAGAAAGGAGCCTACTGCTGTAGGTTTTCCTGCTGTCAGTCACCTGGCCTCTGAGTAGTCTCCTCATGGCCCTTGAACCAAGGCAGGAACACAGAACTTACATGAGCACAAATGGCCAAATCATTGCTCCCAGAAAGGTACATGTAAGGCTGGGCACTTGGTCAGTTACTATATTGGGTCTCTGTGTCTATTGAGGCTCTTCCTGGCTGTGGTGGGGACTCATTAACTCTCTGGGTAGTTTGGTAGGTGGGATGGGCAGGGTAGATTCCATCCTGTCCTGCTGTCCCAGCAGTGCTGGATGGTGTTGGGTAGGTCCATGGATCCCTGGGTGGGATTTTCTTTGTGCCCCAAGAGCCTGGTTGCAGTTGGGGGCCTCTGGGGAGTTTGCTTCATGGAGGCCTGGCAAGCTCCTTTTGCCTGTGATGAACCCTCCCTGCTACCTGAAGGGAAAGGCTCAGGGTAGCTCCGAGAACTTTTCCCCTGTAGCTACATAGTCACTGGAATGGCCTTGCCGTATTCCTACTAGTGTTTGTAAATGGGGACTGATGTACAGGCAGAAGAGACAACGGGTAGGAGGTGGATCACAGTGGTGGGTCTATTCCTGTCCTGCTGGTGTTTGCTCACTGGGCAGGGTCCTTTCTCCTCTCTGCCAGATGTCATCGTCTGCAAGATTCTTTGTTCAGCTCAGACAGTGGTTTCAGCAATTACCGTGGCATTCTGAATTGGTGTGTCGTGATGCTGGTGAGTAGGATGGGGTGAGCAGTCTTATTAAGGCTAGGTGTGGCAGAGCCTTCCAGGCTGCTCTTGCCCTGGGTATAGGCTCTGTCCTTAGAAGTCCATAGCTCCATGTGGCTGCCATCATTTTGCTTGGGGAGAGGGGGTGGTTCCTGCAGTGGCTACTGTGGCTTCCTGTTGCATCTCAGGGTAGCCCTGTGGATGGCTCTGTGGTAGTAGAGAGACTGAGCATCCCCCTGGCGTATTAGGGTGACATGGAGAATAGGTGGATGGAAAGGAGGACTGGTCGAGGAAGGGGCACTGTCTGTGGATACAAGGCCTCCCTGGAAAGGTGTAGAGTGTGTGTGTGTGTGTGTGTGTGTGTGTGTGTGTGTGTGTGTGTGTCCTATGCTACAATGGCTTCATGGATATGGAGTCCTCACCAGAATCAGCTGTTGCTTCCTGGGCCTTGTAGTCCCTTTCCTTCAGCCTTGAGTACTGTTTTTGTTTTTTTGTTTGTTTTTGGTCTTTTTGAGACAGGGTCTCCCAGTAGTCCTAGCTGGCCTGGAACTCCCTACATAGACCAGGTTGGCCTTGAACTCACAGAGATCCACTTGCCTTTGCTGGGATTAAAGGCGTGCGCCAACACACTCAGCCTTGAGTATTGTTGATGGTGTCATATGCCAAGTCTATGGCCTCATCTCTGGGTCCTGGTTTCCACAAGTGCTTTGTGAGGGTGTGGCCAACATTTCCACCCCCAGAGGCCATTGGAGTTCAAGACTCGAGAGACGGCCTGAACGGTGGGTCAGGATCAAAGGGTGATCTTTACTTAGCTTATAATACTCAAGGATGTGGTCGGAAGCCTTTGACCCTTACCTAGAAGTGTCTGACCCTGCTTTAGGCATGCCTCCTTTAGTTGCCAATGTGGAACAGACTCCTACCTGATTATGCCCTGGGAGGTTTCTGAGGCTCTGAGCACACCTTCCCTTGGTCAGCTGTCGGGGGTGATGAGGCATGATGGATAAGAAGCCAGCTGTGCAGAGGCCTGTGGGCCCAAAGTCAGCTTGGCCCCTGGGAGATGACATGTCATATTCCTTGAGGAGGCTGGTTTATGAAGAGGCTTCTGGGCAGGGAGGCCCTTGGTCAGTCCAGGCAGCACTGTCTTTGCTCTTGGAAATTCCTGAGAAATTCCTGAGTCCACCTGGCCTATCCTTGGGGCTGGGCCCATAGCCTTTTCATTACTCTAGCCCTTCTGCTTTTCCTTTCTAGTAGATGTGAATCCTAGGCTCCAGCTGCCTAGTGGGTTCTCGAATGAGGTGATATGGAGCAGTGTGTATTTGGGTACCAAGCTGGAGGAGATGTCTCTGAGCTTATCACCTTCTGGATGGTGCCTTCTCTGACCATCCAGGCAAGGGATCTCATTAGTGTTCCCTTGCCAGTACTGCTTACCATCTCATCTCATGGGGCCTGAACTCTGGATTGTTGGCCACATTGGCAGCACCGAGCCTTGGTTTCAGGGATGACTGGTGCTTGTGAGATCAATGGGGATGGAGGCCAAACACTGAGTTCCAGGCTAGAGTTTGTAACTTGTTTTAATAGATGGTCTGTTGAGCTATATTGGGGCCGTATTTCTGGAGCTTGGATGGAATGTTCCTAGAGTAGTTGAGGCAGGGGCAGAACACCTCACCTCTGCCTCTTCCTGCTTTGGTGGGTCTTTTTGTTGCTTACCTTGTCTCTGGGGCCTGTAGCAGCCTCTTCTGCCTGAGTGAGGCACTGCAGGGGCCAGCACCCTGGGCAAGGATGGGCAGGCAGCTTCCCTTCTTTAGCCTGGGCTGCCAGGAAGGACTGTTTCCCTGCTAAGAGTACTCAGCTTCACTAATTGTTTTCTCAGCCCAGGGTACCTTCCAGGGATACTGAGAGAGCTCTGAGGACTGGGTGGGGTGGTCTATGACTGACAGCGCCATCAGGGGGCTAAGCCCTCCTAATTGTGTCTTACAGATCCTGAGTAATACCAGGTTGTTTTTAGAGAACCTCATCAAGTGAGTACCTTCTCCAGGCCTGATCTGTCCCACCCTCTGCCTGTTTAGGCCCTAAGGCCCCACCCCCACTCAGTCCCCCATTGCTCCACCCCCAGGTATGGCATCCTGGTGGACCCCATCCAAGTGGTGTCTCTGTTCCTGAAGGACCCATACAGCTGGCCTGCCCCATGCCTGGTTATTGGTGAGCTGCGCTCCAAGAAGGGCCATGGGTGGGGGCCATTCTGACTAGGGCCTGAACCTGCCCTGTGCTGTTTCTGCCCTCAGCATCCAACATCTTTTCTGTGGCTGCATTTCAGATTGAAAAGCGCTTGGCAGTGGTAAGTGGTACCCATCCTCCTGCCTGCTAGTCACTGGTGGTCTGCCGGACAGGCTCTCCTTACTGTGTCTGATAGCCCTCTCCCAGAACAGAGGCCCTGGTTGAGCACTCTGCCCTTCTCCAGGGTGCTATCACAGAGCAGGTGGGACTGCTGCTGCATGTGGCTAACCTGGCCACCATCCTCTGCTTCCCAGCAGCTGTGGCCTTACTGGTTGAGTCCATCACTCCAGGTGTGCTCCCATTCCAACTCTTCCAGATCATGCTGAACTTGCCCCAGGTTCAGCCTGTGTGATGGGTGTGGTCTTTGGGGTATGTGGGTAGTCATGGCTGAGCCTACCTCTTGTGTGATCCTTGTGTGTGGGCAGCCATGGCTGAGCCGCCTTTCTCACAGTGGGCTCCGTGCTTGCTCTGGCATCATACTCCATCATCTTCCTCAAGCTCTTCTCCTACCGGCATGTTAACCTATGGTGCCGCCAGTGCAGGGTGAAGGCCAAGGCTGGTAAGGGGCTGAGGGCTATAACTTGACTATAGGACTGGGTCTGGGGAACATGGCCCACCTTCCCATCTCCTGTCTTTTTGGTAGCCCCTGCAGGGAAGGTCAGTGGGGCTGCTGTCCAGCACACTGTCAGCTACCCAGACAACCTGACCTACCGAGGTGAGGAGCAGTGGGGGTGGGGCTCTCAGGGTAAGGGCAGGAGTCAGGGCCAGGCCTTCACAGTTCTAGCCCCTTTCCTTCTCTTCCAGATCTCTACTACTTCATTTTTGCCCCTACTCTGTGTTATGAACTTAACTTTCCTCGCTCCCCCCGAATACGAAAGCGCTTTCTACTTCGGCGCGTTCTTGAGATGGTGAGGTTTGGGCCTAGTGGGGTTGCTATGGGCAGGGCTTGGGGGTGTGTGACTGAAATCTCAGCTGACTGCTTGTACTAAAAATTAATTACTGCTGGGAGGCGCACATGGCATCCAGTTCCCTCTTCCCACTGTCCTTAGGCAACAACCCAAGGCAAGAATTCTCCAAAACTGTTTGGAAAATCCTAACAAGTTTATTGGACTTACTAACAGAACATGGGGTGCAGGTTTACTTACAGAAGTGTGGGCACTGCTCCCATATACGACTGTGCTGGAAAGTCCACACTTAGACGTAGATCCTGTGACATCCCAACAGTTGCATAGAGATGTGCCTTATGGCGTTCTCCACTTCTATATCTTTAGCCCCTCCCCTCATGCAGCTACAGTTGACTGATTGGGTGGGAGGGTAATTGACCCCCACCTCCTTTCAAGCAGTGTGGGAAGGTGTGACTATAGCATGCTGGCATGATGGTGTGCCACTTCCAGGTAACACTGTTCTTTGCTCTTTCCCTAGCTGTTCTTCACCCAGCTCCTGGTGGGGCTGATCCAGCAGGTAAGCTGGGTAAGGGGGTGAGTAGTGGGGCCTAGCATAGCCGGGGGAACTGATGTGGTGTCTTCCTTTGCAGTGGATGGTCCCTACCATCCAGAACTCCATGAAGCCCTTCAAGGTGAGGCTGGATTCCCTTGCAGCAGGCGGGGGGAATGATGGATGGATGCTGCAGCCTGCTGAAGCAGCCTGTCTCTGCAGGATATGGACTATTCACGCATCATTGAGCGGCTCCTGAAGCTGGCGGTGAGTGTCTGAGAGTGGGGTGAGTGTAAAGGATAGGTGAAGATATTCTGGAACCTTGAGCCCTTTCTCCCACAGGTCCCTAACCATCTCATCTGGCTTATCTTCTTCTACTGGCTCTTCCATTCCTGCCTGAATGTTGTGGCCGAGCTCATGCAGTTTGGAGACCGGGAGTTCTACAGGGACTGGTGGTGAGTGCCCCTAGGGGTATCACTGGGATCTGGGTGAGTGGTGTGCTCTGCTTACCCCACCCACTCTTTTGACCCCAAGGAATGCTGAGTCTGTCATCTACTTCTGGCAGAACTGGAATATCCCTGTGCACAAGTGGTGTAGCAGGTGGGTGATATGTTCACCTGTGAGGCATGGTATGGACCCAGGCCCATGACAGGGCCTCATCTTATGACTTCCTTGATCTGCAGACATTTCTACAAGCCTTTGCTCCGACGGGGCACCAACAGATGGGTTGCTAGAACAGGGGTGTTCCTGGCCTCAGCCTTCTTCCATGAGGTCAGTGCTCCATGAGCATCCTGCCTCACCTGTGGGCAGGGCTGTGGCCATGAGCTGAGACATTCAACTTTCTTCTCCCTATACCCTAGTACCTAGTGAGCATTCCCCTGCGCATGTTCCGCCTCTGGGCATTCACAGCCATGATGGCTCAGGTGAGCAACCCTTATGAAGCCACCTTATTCACCTGCCTTCCTTAGCCTAAATCTGTGCCATGCCCTATGGTATGTGGTCAGTGTGGCCACCTGACCATGACCCTGTGTGTCTATAGATCCCGCTGGCCTGGATTGTGGGCCGCTTCTTCCAGGGGAACTATGGCAATGCAGCTGTGTGGATGACACTCATCATCGGGCAGCCAGTGGCTGTGCTCATGTATGTTCACGACTACTACGTGCTCAACTACGAGGCCCCAACAGTGGGGGGGGCCTGAGCTGCCAAGGGTCAGCCCTTCCTAGCCTGGGCCTGGAGTGGTTCCTGGCTGCTTACACCCTCCTCCCTGGCCTGGGAGGCCTCTCTGCCCCTATGGGGCTTATTCCTGTTCTTGGGGATGTCACCAGAATCCAGCTGATATGAACCAGTGCTGGAGTCTGCACTGACCAGGGGTGGAGGGTATCAATAAAGTACTGTCTATAGTGTAATCTCCCTTAGCCTGCTGGAGGTATGGGAGCTGATGAGGATAACCTCAACAAAAATACGCTATGTGGCAGCTGTAACTCTTCATTTAGATTCCAGCCTAATGGTTCCCCCGGTCTTTCATCCAGCCTTAAGGAATGGCAGACAGGCTGCTTAGCTGCAGGACACAAGATGTGTATAGGAGGCAGCAGCATGCCAGTGACTAAAGACCACGGAGATAACTGAGCAGTAACCACTCAGAAAAGCCCAATGAGGCTTGACTTCCTGTCCTGTTAATACATATGAGGGGCTTGGGCTTAGAGGACTCCAACAGAGGATGAGCCTATACAAGCTGATTGTGCTGTGCCCAAAACCCTTATGTGAGAGAAGTCTAGTGGGTAGAGAACACTGAGTGTCCCCAAAATACTCATGTTGGTACTGGGCTCTGAGTAGGAGTCTACATCCGTATCTAGAGGTAGAGCTAGCCGTGCAGAGGACACCGTACAAAGCTTGGCCTGCAGGAGCTGTACCCTGTACCTTCAGAGCTCCACTGACGATAGGGCTGCTCGTCAAGGTGGGCTAGTGGCTCTAGGCTGCACTGTACTGCAGGGTGTGTGTGTGTGTGAGACTTGATTGTGCTCTGCCCCCTCCCACTAACCTACCCTTGGTTCTCCTGACAGTAGAGACATCCCTGTGAAATTCATAGGGTTGCCTTGTCCTCAAGTTCTGGCACCTGCCGAACTGGAAAAAGGTAGGCGGCAACCCAGGGGCCCAAACTCCTGTCTTGTCAGATTAGTGCTTGTTAACTGCCAGTGTCTGTCTGCCAAGGCTGCAGACCCTAACCCACAATCAGATGGGTATCTTGGTGCTGTGGGGAGTGGACAATATACACTGTTGCCTCTGCCACATTATTAAACTACTTGGCCTGTGTAGTCCTCTCTGGTCATGGGACTACAGGCTGTTGTCTGATGTCCTCCAGAATGAAGGCCCTCTGACCCTAGTATAGAGTTGGCATCTCTTTGGCTTGTAACACCCCTTGGTGGCCATTACACTGGCCTGCCAAGGAAAGTCAGGGATATAATTTTGGGGGGGATGGGACATCTAGAGGGGTATTTGGCTTTACTTTCCAGTACTGCCCGCCCCCCCAAACCAGCAGAACGTACCCCAGTACATAGTATGCCTGTTGTGGGAGACTTCTACCTCTGTCTAATCCCACTCTGAGATAGCAGAAGCAAGTCCAGAACCAGTTTAGTATCTGGTAAGACTTGACGAGGATATCAAATGTGTACATGCCCATCCTCAAATGGACATTGGGAATTGGGGTATACTAATAATCACAGCCAGACTGCCCTTCTTAGTACCTAAATAAAAAACTGTTCTGTGGTATCAAGTGTACCTAGGGTGCAATACTGACATTTGCACTTCTCCAAGGAGACTTGCAGTTGAGTTTTGGGCTCTCACCTGTAGCCCCCCCCCCCTTTCAGAGCAGGAGAAAACACACAGGAGGCCACAGTAGAGCCTGTTTATAGATCTGGCTTGTTTGTCCATCTGTATATATACATATATATATATATATATATATATATATATATATACACACACACACA